TTGATTGCTTGAAGTAGATTCTTCTTCTAATGGTCCACAAAATTGTTGATAAAATAGTTTTGCTTTTTCAATAGAATCAAGTCTATGTCTTTGTTCTTGCCATGTCACCATAATTCCTTCAGGTATTAACCATCTAAAACTCACTCCTTTAAATATTAAGAATTTTGTTAAAAATTGATATTCTCTCAAGTCCCTAACTCTTCTGGGTATTTGTCGTAAAACCACAAGTTCTTTATTTTTATGTTTCAGTGCTATAATTCTTGCTACTTGTAGTATCTCTGCTTTCACTGCCTTCTTTGTAAATCTTACACGTACTTCTCTTGGTAGTTTATTCCTCATTGCATATCTTGAAACTCTAAATGCTTCATCAATCTCATTTAAAATCTTTTCCTTGGATTGTTCCAAAACTTCTGACAAAATCTCAGCAATCACCTCAGGTAAATTTTCTCTTTTTTTCTTCTTTTATATTTTGAAATCTTAAGTAGAATTCAGAACGCTCCATTTCCAGCATGATAATTGTTCTTTCTTGTAATTTATCAGTTGACACCAATTTTTCTTCTAATTCCTCAACTTTCTTCTCTGTCATTTCTGCCTTTTCTTCTACTTTCTGGGTTCCCTCTTCATTTTTCCCCATCATATCTTTCATTTCTTTTTTTTTTATTTTCATTGAAATTTATTATAATACAATACAGTACAATCAGTCAGTGTTATTTTTCTACACAGGTTACATTGATTCTTCTTTTACTTTTCATCGTAATATAACGTAATTTACATATGCATCTTAAAATTTATATTAACTTTTATCTATTCTTTATTCTATTATCAATCCACCTGTACCAATCATCCCACACCGTATAATATTCTTCATTCTCATTTAATACTAACGTTAATTTGTTCATTTCGGTACATTCCAGAACCTTCTGAATAATATGTTCCTCTGGTGGTATGTCCTTTCCTTTCCAATATTGGGCGTATGCTATTCTTGGTGCAGTGAGTATATGTATGATTAGATATCTTTTTTTTCCCCGATATTTTGTCTTTAGTATTCCCAGGAGGAATGTTTCAGGTATCAATTTGATTTTTTCATTGGTTGATTCTTGTAGCCAATTTTGAATTTTTCCAATACCTCATCGCTTCGGGACAGGACCACCACATGTGAAAGAAGGTATCTTGGTGTCATCCACATTTCCAACATTTGGGGCTTACATTTGGATAGATTTTGGCTAATCTCACGGGTGCTAGGTGCCATCTATATCGCATTTTATATTGGTTTTCTTTGTATGTTGCCGCTTTTGTTAATTTATAGTTACTATTCCAAATCATCTCCCATTCGTCCAAATTTATATTATGTCCAATATTTTTGGCCCATGCTATCATTGGCTCTTTTACTACCTCTTCTGCCCTATCGAATTCTAAAAGATAATTGTATAATCTAGATAGTACTTTTTTTCTGGGCCTATTAGTAATTTGTCTAATGTGTTTGTTTCCATCTCAATGCCAAATTCTTCCTTATCTTTTTTGTACCTAGATTGAATCTGTAGGTATGGCCACCAGTCAATATGTATTCCCTGTTCATCTACCGATTGATTACTTATACGATTTCCTTGATTATCTAGAAGCTCTTTGTAACTAATCATTTTATTAATCTCTAATGTATTTGGGTATATCATGGCTTCCATCGTCAATAGCCAATTCGGGATTTTCATGTATTGTTTTCTTCTAATTTCCTCCCATACTTGGTCTTTTTCTTTTTGTCCCACAAGAAGGCGTGCCACCCTTTTTGTAGATTGTGCCCTTCCAAAATTAGGATTCTTTTGTTTCTTAAATTAACCCATTCCCTTATCTATTCTAGGATGGCCACTTTATAATATACTTCCCACGCTGGGAGTCCAAAACCTCCCCTGCTTCTGTTGTCTTGTAGTGATCACAAATTAATTCTTGTTTTTTTTCCCGGCCCAAATGAATTTCCTAATAATTTTGATTTCTGTGAAAAAAAATTTGTCTAAAATAATGGGTATCGTTTGGAATAGGTATTCCAAAACTTGGGCAGGATATGGTATCGTTTGGAATAGGTATTCCAAAACTTGGGCAGGATATTCATCTTTATCGATGCTATCCTGCCCAAGAGTGATAATTGCACTTTCTCCCATTTTTCCAAATCCTGTTTTATTCTTTTAACCAGAGGTGTGTAGTTATCTTTCATTTCTTTTAATTCCTGTTTTATATCATCATGAAGCGATTGCATAAAATTTCTTAGTCCCATCATCTCTGAAGTTTTCTGTGTTTCTGCTGCTGAGGGGCTTGATGCTGGATGCAAATGGGCTGTAAATTTCTTCATTTCTATAATTTGTAATCCACTTGTGGTTTAATTATAATCCAAATATCTAATCCACTCAATGGTTGAATTAGCAAAAAGAAAAAAGAGGGGGGGAAAATCCCAATAAACCACCTTCCTCCAAAAATTTAAGATTCCAAATCTCCCATAAAGAAATTTAAAAAACAAGAGGAGAGAAAAGAGAAGGAAAAAAAGAAAAGCTAATCCAGCTGCCCAAAAGGTAAAAAAATTCAAAATCAAAATCCAAACAAGAATAACCAAAAAAAAGATTTTTTAAAAAAAGTTTTTTTTTTTTCTGACTCTTCAGGTCATAATCCAAACTTTGATAGTCCAATTCTATTAAATTCAGTAAAAAAGCATCTGGGTAAAAAACAAATCAAGAATATAGACTTTTCACTTTCCCACCAGCAAGTCTCAAAACAAAATACTTCAAAAAGAACTAGTCACCCCAGGAGAAAAAAAAAAAGATTAAATGCCAAAAAGAAAAAAAAAGTTCAAAAACAAGTTCAAAGTCTAGTCTTCTCTCTTCCACAGCTGTTCTATTATCATTTAGCCAAAATGTCAAGGTCAATTTATTTGGATTTCTTCAAAGTAAAGATCTATTTTTTTCTTCTGCCACTAAATGACACTGCAGGTTAACTTTTAGCATTAACACAGTACATTCACTTCTTTAAGCTTTGTTGTTTCAAAATTTTCTTCTAGCAATCACCACCATTCTGTAACATTTCATTCAAATCTTCCATTAAATTCATTATCCAAATTTTTATTGTCAAGTTTTATAAAAGTTAAAAGTTCCCTAAATCCTTTTTCCCCCCTTCAATAACAATATAGTAAAAACTTCCGATTGCGCTTTCCTCGTCATCAAATTACTAGATGTGAGAGCGAATACACATCCACTCTCACTCCTCGCTCTCAGTTAGTCTTTTCCACTCTATGGATCTTTCAGATGGATTTGAAGAGAAACTCTCAAAAAAAAAAACAAAAAAAAAACAAAACAAGTCACTCTCACCTCAATGTCACATGCTGTCTCTTTTCTTCCTCTTTTGTTGCGGCCGCCCCAGCTTCCTAGCGACTTCTAGGTCGCTTTCTGCACTGTCCAGTTTGAGGAGCTTCTTCCGATTCTGCCAGGGAGTTTACGATCTCCCTGTGCTGACTGGTATGTGCTCCTCTTGTTTGTCGTTCCTACAGGACAACTTAGATCACCGAGGATCTCTGGACAGCGGAGATATCGACGGGTCCTTGAGAGCCCTCAAAGTGACTGTCATACCGCCGTGACCATTGTCAGGGCATTGATTAATCCCATATTTGGCTCTGGGACAAATCACCCTGGTTTAATTAGAGGATGGATCGTGGCTTATTCCTTGTTGCAATATTCTGAAAAAGAAAACACGAAGAAAAGTTCTCTAATAAAACTCATTTATTTGTTATAAAGAAAATAAAACACCTCACTAACTAAGAAAAGTAATTGCTACATTTTGAAATAGCTTTTGCCGGCTATTTCTCAGCCGGACCTTTCTGGCAAGAGAACAAAGGAAAGAGTGTGTGAAGCAAGTGAAGGAATGCGGACATGCGTAGTAAAATACTGATAAGGAACTTGGCAAACTACAGTAAGTCTATTAGTCCAAAAATAATGAAGCTCAGCTGGGAAATAAAAAACGCAGTGACAACCATGCCTCCCCAAGTTATTTTAATACTTGAGAGAGTAGGAAAAGGGCTGTATCTGTGATGGAGTTGCCTGTTCAGTTTGAAATGATTTATGTGTTAAACTGAAAAACTGAAAGGGGCTGAAGTCTGCATCCAACTTGGGATAAAGTTTAGTGACTAAAAATATTCACCTAAGAAGCTGTGGCTCCTTTAAACTTCGTGCTAAGACATGATTTATATAAACATTGTTTGCTGGATAAAAGTTATAGTCCCTAATTGTAAGGCTTTGAGAAGGCAGCAAACATTTAGAAGAATTTATGTTTTCACTGTGCTTATTGGATTTTTTTTGTAACATTTATAATTGCAACAAATAGTTGGGTAAAAAATAATACAGCAGTATGCTTCAATATCTCCGACCTCCGGGTGTTTCGCTGCGCACTGAAGACCCTGTTGTTCCGCCAGGCTGGGCTATCAACATAATAATTTTAAATTGGGGTATTTTAAATTTTGGGGGTTTTAAACCGGCCAAATTTATTTAATTATTTTAATTTTAATCATTGTTTTGTCTTGTGTTTTTAAATTGGCTGTACACCGCCCTGAGTCCTTCGGGAGAAGGGCGGTATAGAAATATTATTATTATTATTATTATTATTATTATTATTATTATTATTATTAATATACACTGCTCAAAAAAATAAAGGGAACACAAGCAGAAGACATCCAAGATCTGAATGAATGAAATAGCCTTATTAAATACTTTGTTCGTTACATACAGTAGTTTTGTGTTCCCTTTAGTTGTTTGGGCAGTGTATAAACTACTGTATGTAAAGAACAAAGTATTTAATAAGGCTATTTCATTCATTCAGATCTCGGATGTCTTCTGCTTGTGTTCCCTTTATTTTTTTGAGCAGTATAATATTGTACAGTACAATTATACTATTTCTAGTTTTCACAAAATTAGCATTCAGCAAATATAACTAATTCAAAATCTTTCAAAAACGTTTTTTCTTTCCAAACCTAGGAGGCTCATGGATTTAACTTGCTAAAAATTAAATCTGAGCATGGTAAGTAATCCATACTTTGTATTAAAGAAATTGCTCCTCATAAAAAATGGAGGGGGGTGTTAGAATATAAATCAATCTATACAATTCAAGGTTTTTTTTTAATTACCTGGACTTTTACTGCAATTTTCCTTTCTTAAATGTTAATATATATCGACATATAAATGAGCTGCATGATTTCTTAATAGCTGCTCAGGTTTCAGCACTGAAGTAGTAAATAACAAGTAGTGGCATGGCACTATTTGCTTTATTTCTCCTTAAGCAATATACAATAGATGTCAGAATCTGTCATACCCTTCTATTTCAAAAGATCAAAAGATATGCAGAACTTTAACTTATTTAAGAATAATAAATGTAGTTTAAATACTAGAAACACAAGATTAATTTGATCCAAGAATCTTATTTAGATATATCTACTTCTTCCCTAAAACCTATTTTTTGTTTACTAGATCTGAATTTCTATCAACAAGTAAAACTAATGAATTTCATCAGAAGACAGGTGCACCAATGTCAGTGTTTTAAGTGTGAGAAAAAATTCCATTTAAAAAAAGAGTTAATATGTCATTTGGAAGATAGCAAACATATAGCAGTTCTACCTGAAAGATCTGTTTGGGATCAACCACAGTAAGTTATGTATGCGTGTTCCATCAATATTGTAGACAGTGTATTATAAGACTTAATTTGACAGTCAAGGTTTGTATTCTCTTAATCTATGCAGGCTACAAACCAGCCAATCATTCAGAATGCTCTCTGATCTACACACTTTCAAACTAAAAGCACTAATACAATTTGCTAGGTATTTTTGCTAGATTTAAAAAGAAAGGATAGAATATTTTCATTAGACAGGGCATATCACTTAATAAGTGACAAATAGAGAACAGTAAGTTTTCTATTACAAACTATTCAATGTGTTTAAAAATGCAAGATGATTTAAAGTTTACAGAAAGTAGGAAAACAGAATTAATTAACTACAGACTTGAAATTCAAAAACAAGCACCACCAGCATTGTTGGTTTGTACCTTCAAGAATCTGTAGTGACTGAAAATATTGATTATATGAATATATATGCATGTGAACATATTCATTATGTGCACATATCATAAATTGTGAAGCAGTTTCCCAGTGATGCTTCCCATTTCATTGGGAACTGTGTTAAGAATTGGAATTGGGGAATAGGATCCAATTACATGTGTTCTTTATTTGGTGTTACCTACATGCAGTAGCAGTTATTGCTGCCTTGCCATTCTTCCATTAGCACTGAAATAGTAATAGATCTATAGTGCACCGCATAGCATTTCAGTCCACCCTAACCAGTATCACACAAACTACAGCAGTAGCAAGAGATAGCCGCAACTATTGCCAATTTCTGCTTATATGACAGGCTATTGCTGTTTATGTGGTTGCAGTAGCCATGTCCATTTCAGTAATGTTAGGTTCAGTCATAATGCTATAAGTGGTGTGGGCAAAGAAAACATTAATTAGATATATTACTTTTTTTTGTTCTGTTTAGGTACTATTTTCCTACCTATGAAAATGATACTCTTCTCTGCTCACTTTCTGACAATGAGGATGAACTGGCAGCTGAAAAACGAACAGATAACATACCTGTCATTAGTGAAGATGTTTACAACGTAGAGGCTTTGAAACAGAGCAGTGTATTAAATGAGCTTCTTCATGAGGAGTTAAATAACATAGAAACATGATTACAATGAAAAAAATCTTAATAACTGGTTTTCAAATTTTAAAAGAGGTAAAATATTTGGATATTACTATGTCAAACATGAATGGTATGTTATTTTAACATAATTATATTACAGTATGGAATGAAATTAAGATCTATTAAGATGGGGAAAGATGAAATTTATTCTTTCTTGGAGAAATTTCTGGGAGAAAAATAAAAATGTTACCTAGAGTGTTGTTTTTATTTCAAACAATACCAATTTTGAAAAATGGTTTGCCTTTTAAACAATGGCCAAGTTATTATCTAGATTTCTATGGCAGAGAAAGAAACCAAAGATTAAATATAAATTCTGCAGGATACAAAAGACTGATTAGGATTACCTGATTTAAAATTGTATTCTGCAGTATTTTGTTTGGGTTGGATGAAAAAATGGGACCTGCTGAGAAATAAAATAATGAAGTTTGTCAGACATGAGCTTTTTTATGATACAATAAAGTTAATATTAATGTAGATTTTAAAAATCATTATGTGAAAAGTGCTATATTGAAATATAAACCCAGGAGTCCAAATATATCTTTTATCAACCTCCATACAGGAAGCATTCTATAGAAGAGTAACCGCTGATAGAAATAAATAGTTAGCATACAAAGATTTAGTGTCATTTAGTGTACAAGAGGGTGGAAAAATTGAGATAAAGTCAAGAGAACAATTAACTGTAGAAGGACATTGTTTCTGATTATATGCACAGTTAAATGAAAGATACAATATGAATAAAAAATACAATATGAATAAAAAGTCAATTTGAATTGAAAATTACAAAACATAATTTGAAATTGAACTATAATGTGTACAAATTATGAACATAATAGCAAAAATTAATAAAATTTTATTAATGTTTGAAACAGAAGAACATGTTAAAATGGGCATGACAAAATGGGCTAATAATTTGAGGTAAAACATAGAGATTTGAGAAAGAATGTGGGAAACTGGTATTAAATTTAGATTAATAATTTATGAGAAAAATTGTAAAGTGATGTATCATTGGTCTATGACACCAAATAAATTATCAAAATGTACAAATGTTGAAAATATGAAAACATAAGGGGCATTTTATTATGCTGGTGGATTTGCACAAAAATTAAGAAATTTTGGATATAAATTTATACGAAGGATTTTAAAGATTATTATTGTAAAGAAAATAGAATTTTTCTTTTTGGGACTCAGAGATAATTAATTAAGAAAAAATGGTAGATTGATTTTTTATGATATAATAGAATGAGCTGGAAGGGACCTTGGAGGTCTTATAGTCCAGCCCTCTGCTCAATCAGGAGAACCTATACCATTTCAGATAAGTGAATAACAACTAATAGGTTTAAGATTTTAGCTTATGCTAAATGTACTCAATTAGGCATGATAGGAAAATACATTTAGTGTTACAGCCATAATTCTCAATATAAAAGTAATTAAAACATTTCCTACATATCTACTGGTATGGTTCCTTTTGTGTGAATGTTTTCTCCAAAACAATGCCATGGCTATCAATACAATTAGCACAGGGGCCCCACAATTAGCATAGGGGCCCCACAAGGCTGTGTGCTCTCTCCACATCTCTTCTCTCTATATACCAATGACTGCATCTCAAACGATCCATCTGTTAAACTACTGAAGTTTGCAGATGACACAACAGTGATCGGTCTCATTCGAGACTGATGAATCCGCATACAGTCGGAAGGTTGAACAACTAGCCTCGTGGTGCAACCAGAACAATCTGGAACTGAACACACTCAAAACCGTAGAAATGTTGGTGGACTTTAGGAGAAACTCTCCCATACTACCACCGGTTACAATACTAGACAACACAGTATCAATACTAGAGACCTTCAAATTTCTAGGTTCTACCATATCTGCCCAAGAGCTGCTGATAAAGTTCTACAGAGGAATTATTGAGTCTGTCATCTGCACCTCTATAACCCCTGTCCCGAGCCCTCCAGAGATCATCCACCAATGCGACCAATGCCGTTTCTGTGCTGTACCCCTGCCTGAAGCCCGACTGGTACGGGTCCAGATAGATAGCTTCATCCAGGTACATATATTAAAATGTTGAATTTGTATTAAACAACTGTAATATTACATAATTAACCAATGTGAGGATGGATATAAAAATAGATGACAATGGGAAGGGGTATAATATAGAATAAAAGGGAAAAATTGAATTTGATTAAGATTAGAGATGAGGATGAAGGGTAATATTGTTTTTTTAAAAAAAATAGATGAGGAATAAATATGGCAAAAAGGAAATATAGAAATTGTAAATTTAATTGAAATGACTAAACACTGTTTAAATTTGTGAACTGGCCAAATACTCTGTTCAAAGAAAATACATTGTATGTTTGTATGTGTGTTTCTAATTATTGCTATTTATTCATATTCATTCTCTTTTATTCTTTAAAGTTTAACAATTCACTCTTTATCTTAATATCTTTATATTTGTTTGGGGTTGCCTTTCTTCCATTTCATCTTTTTTATTGTATAGCAATCTTTCTCCTCAAACCTACCACCTCTCTCTTTTCTTTTCTTTTCTTTCCTTCTTACTTTCTCTCCCCCCCTCTTCTTCTCTTCCCTACTTCCCCTTCCTTTCTCCTTCTTCTCCTCTCTTCCTCCCTCTCTTACCCTCACTCCTACTCTAATTTCCCTTCCTTCCTCCCTTCTCTTCCTTCCCTCTCTCTCCTTCCTTCATCCCTCTCTATTGCTGTATTCATTTTCAATTTTATATTTTCCACTATGGAGTCCAGGCAACTCTGGTCTTTCTTTCATTTATCAAGTATATTTCTCAAAATTTCCCCTCATCTTTTTAATTATTAGCAGTATATTTCATCTTATTCCATTTTTAAAAAAATCTTTACTCAAACAATCTTCCAATCCTTAGACTTTTTACTTTTAACAATATATTTTTACTTTACTTCTTACAAGTATATCATTTGAATCATTTTTTGCATTTCAATTTCATTCAGTTTTACATTTAATTTCCATATTCCATCTTATTCAATTAATTCTTATATTATAATTTATTCTCTCCTTTTAGTGCTTCTTCCAATATCATTCTTTCTTTCACATTATATTGTTCTATTTTTCATTTAACAGCATTTTCACATATAATTTCTACAACTAGCATCCTTCTCTTTATTAACAAATTAACATTTTCACTGACTCTTAACCACTTTCTCTTAGTCTCTCCACAGTTCTCTTTCTTGATGTTTTCCTCCTTTTCTCCCATTTCTTTACCTTCTTTCTCCTGTTCTTATATCTCCCCTTCAGCCTTTTTCCTTTAATTTTAACTCTATTACTTTTCATTCTCAATCTTACCCCATTTATTTCTCTTTTCGTCATATTTGGGGTGTATTTTCCCATATCCATTTTTATTCTATCATCATTGAACCCAGTGTAATCATCTTTATCTTGTTTTTCAATTATTTCCTTTTCAATATTATCTCCTTTTTTCTCTTGCTTCTCATTCATCTTTTCTCTTTCTTTTTTGCAAGCTAACCAATTTTCTGCTTCTTTATTTCCCTTAAATGCCTCCCTTACCTTTTGAAACATCTCTCTTAGTGTCTCATATTCATCCTCCCAATTCTCCATATTTTCAGTTTTAAAGGGCTAGGATTTTTAAGCTTATTCTTTTCATTTACATATGTGGGGGAGATGTTTTTCAAGGAGCCACAAGGGGGGCTGAGGGCAGAGTCATTCTGACAGTGTCTTTTAAAATTGCTTGGAAGACCCATTTTTCCCTAACAATAATGGTGTGTATACATTGGAATAAAACATATACCTGGAAAAAATACTTGCAAAACTTGAACAGAAGGAAAAGAAAGGCAGGGCTGGACTCATTATCAGTAGCTAGTAGTTCATTGTTATCAGTGACTCCCACTGATTCTAAACTCATTTTAAAACTGGGATTGGTGATTACTGAAATTTAAGTATTCAACATTGGTCTCAGAAATCTTTGAACTATCAAATCTCTGATTTGAACTATCAAATCTTTGATTTGAACTTTGATTTGAACTATGGCAAGAAAAATCGTAAAATGGGGCAAAGCTCACTTAACCATAATAATTTCTAGATATTTGAAGTGTAGAGAATTCAAGTGTTGAGAATGACCCATTATTTCGTCTCTTTTTCCACACTAGGTACCACTATTTGATTTCTTTTCATTTTATTCAAATAACAGAAAACCCAATACAGTTCAGTATGAATTGGCTTTCCAGTCCTTCCTTGATGCACTTTTTCACATTGGTTATCTAGTTTAAATGCCAAAGAAAAATCAATGATATATTTTTCATACCTTTGGAGGATCACACTGTCAATTGTTCACACTGCTCAAACAAAACTAACAGATGTGAATTAAGTTTTAGCTAAAAAATTGAGCTTTAATTCCAGAAGTCCATTCTTTAAACTTGGACTTCTGGAATTAAATGGTACTCCAGACAAAAGATAGAGAAGAGTATCTTACTTTTAGACATGATAATAGCTGTCTAGAAAGGTGAGTTATGAGCTATTTTTACATCATCGGAAATTTAATTTATTACCTGTTAAAAATGCAAAGACAAAGAGTACAAGGAGCAAATAAAAGACCTTTATGTTGGGGTTGGTTCTGGACCAAATCTTACTTGTGAGACAGAAACCAGCTCTCAGCCCTCTTTGTGACTTCTTAAAAAGCATCCCCCCACCACACGCTCCACCGCCTGAGGAGGCAGGGGAGGGCTGCAGGTTGATCCCAAGGGGTCTGGGAATGGGTGTGAATTCATCCCACAGCCCTCTCCATCCCCTCCTCTGTGAAATAGCTTTCTCCCACTCGCTGGTGGTCAGCAAATTCAAAAGGAACCCCCAGCTGAGAATCATTGCTCTAGATTGGTTGATTCAGGGGATTTCTGTAGTGTTAACTAATAGTGTTAGCTATTTTTGTTACAGGGATAGATTTGTATTGGAGCAGCCTGCAGGCCTCCCAAAGGCTCTGCGCACCCTGTTTTTGCGAAAAGTGGGCCCGTTTTTCACAAAAATGAGACATGCGGGGTAAGGCTTCAGGAGGCCAAAAATGGCTGTATTCCATGTATTTTACTGTTACTATCTTCCTTAGTGGGTCATGCAAACCGCTATTCCGAACAATGCTATCTATAGGGGGGGGTAGTGGTGGGTTGCCCGGTTCTCACCAGTTATATAGAACCAATAGTAAAACT